GAATCAAAAAGAGCAAAATACTAATGAATACTAGGCTGAAACTCAGAAGAATTAATATAAGTCACAGAATAAATGTAAAATGTGAAAGGAAAAATAACTGGTGGGCAGGAGGCCAGATAAGGAACAGGAAGAGAGAATACCAAAAAAGGAAGAAACTGAATTTGCTAATATGAAGAAAAGTTCCTGCATCAGCTTTGATGGTAGTAAGTTAATATGGAAACAAATGTTATTTTTAACATTAGGGAAATTCAAAGATTGTTCACCTTGAAAATTTGCTTAAAGGCTACAAAGAAGCAAAGATATTCCATAACAGAAGGCATAATGACAAAAACACAATTAAGAATTACATAAATTAAGAAATATTATTAAAATGAGTATTRTACAAAAACAAGAGTAAAAACTAAATACACAGCTAAAAATCCTGAGGGGAGAGGAAAAAAGAGTCCAGAGCAATTTTCTAAAAGAAAGATAATAGTTATTTTGAAGCCAAAACCACAACACTTTAGAAGGGTTCATTAACAAATTGGCAAGAGTTGCTGTCTAAGAGGGAATTGTTTGCCTAAGGATAGGAATGAATGGGAAACTGACTCTTTACTATATCCTTTTGTATTTTTTAAATTTTTATATTTCAACTAAAAATTCCTGTGACTATGTGAAAAGTGAAAATTCTAAAAGTAAATGAATTACAGAACACATAAAATTAGAAAAACTGGACACAAAAAGCAACAAAATGATAAAATAGTAATACTATATATGTGCTAATAAATTTGGATAAAACTGAATAGATTGATTTTTTAATAAAAATATATAATTCTAGGGGCTGAGGTTGTGGCTCAGTGGTAGAGTGCTCGCCTAGCATGTGTAAGGCCCTGGGTTTGATCCTCAGCACCACATAATACATAATAATAAATAAAGGTATTGTGTCCATCTACAACCAAAAAATACACACACACACACACACACACACACACACACACACACAATTTCTAATGCTGACAAAAATAAAACACCCAACATCTTTTTAAAAAATTCTGATAAATATATTCACCCAAAGCAGCTACTCTGATACCTTATTAGTGAATCCTTTCAAACACTTCAGAAATAATTCACATTGTACAAATCATGCCTAAAATAGGTCAAAATATAGGTTATCTAGTTTAGTCTTCTAAATTGATCCTAAAACTGGCTAAAGAAAATGAAAAAAAGAGCTGGGCATGGTGTCATGGTGGGAATTATATACCCATAATAATCAGGAAGCTGAGGCAGGAGGATTCTGAATTCAAAGCCAGCCTTAGCAACTTAGCAAGGCCCTAAGCAACTTGGCAAGATCCTGTCTCTAAATAAAATACAAAAAAGGACTGGGGATGTGGCTCAGTGGTTAAGCACTCCTGGGTTCAATCCCTGGTATCAAAAAAAAAAAAAAAAAAGTAAAAAAGAAAAATGTACAAAGCTCACTCAGAATTTTCACACTCAAAACATTAAAAGAAATAATAGTAAATAGAATTTAGGAATAGATTAAATTTTTAACTGTGTCAACAGACACTAAAAATATATTCATTAAAACTGGGCAGTTGTACTGAGTATGGTAGTATATGCCTGTAATCCCAGCTGCTTGGGAGGTTGAAGCATGAAGATTGCAAATTCAAAGCCAGCCTCAGGAATTTAGCAAGGCTTTAAGCAACTTAGTGAGACCCTGCCTCAAAATAAAAAATAAAAATGACTGGGGATGTGGCTCATTGGATAAGCACCCTTGGGTTCAATCCCTGGTACCAAAACAAAAACAAAAACAAAAATCCAACAGCTATTTTTAATGTAAGGATTCTAAAACTAATAAAAAAGATAAATATTTTTACCCTGATTGAAGTACCTATTTAAAACTAAATGTAAAAAAAAAATATATGCTGTCATTAAGTATAGGTACAAAATGATGAAGCTTTCCATCATATCACTGTTAATTAATATAGTATCAGGGGCTAGAAGAACAGTCCAGGGGTAGAGCTCTTGCCTACCATGCACAAGGCCCAGGGTTTGATCCCCAGGACCTTAAAAAAATAAATAAAGTTGGAACTTCTGACACTATATATAGTACAACATAAAGCAACATAAAAATGAATGAGAGGGGCTGGGGTTGTGGCTCAGTGGCAGAGCACTTGCCTAGCATGTGTGAGGCACTGGGTTCAATCCTCAGCACCACATATAAATAAATAAAGAATAAAGGTACATCAACAAGTAAAAAATATTTTTAAAAATTTAAAAAAATGAATAAGAGCTACAAATAAAGGCAGAGATAAACTATTTTTACATTCAATAAATACCACTGTATACTTATAAAAACTAAATAAATCATTTGAATGGTTATGATGAGTTTAAAGTGATCAGAGCCATCACCAATAAGGAAAAAAATCATGTATATTCCGGATTTTCAAACTTGAGTACATGTGAAAAATCACCCAGGGAAGAAGCTTTTAAAAATTGTCAATACTATGACTTGCCCCAGACAAAATGCCTCAGAACCTCTAGGGGACGGATCAGACATTAATATTTTATAAAGCTTCTCAGGTGACTTAATGTGCAGCCTACAATTGTATATTCAATTATTGGAAGAGCTTAAAATGCAATGCAAAATGTGTAACTATTTGTATTTGCAAATGGGAAGAGAAACACTGCTGAAATTTAGAAGAGGAAACTTGACAGGAGACACAGTTAGCTCCTATGCTAATGTTTGCAGTTTAGACAAAAACCAATACCCAAGTCAATGGAGGGGGACATGACCCACAGCCTCAATAAACTGATGGAAATGAAAGGTCATTAGTCTCTGCCCAAGTGCTGTTAAAATGGAAAGCATGAATGAGAATTTGACAGAGGCTTAGGTGGTCCAGGATTACATACATACCTGTAGAGGCTACATGCAAGATAAATTCTCACAAATGCAATTGTTGAGTCAAATGGTATGCATCTTTAAAAGTGAGAGATTTATTTTTAAAAGATCTTAAATATGACAAAGAAAAAGCACGATATCAAAATATCATCGCATATAGGTAGGAGTGGAGTTGGAGAGACCAAGTAAGCTGAAGTCAGGCAAGATGGCTCAGTGTTACCAGGAAGTAGGTAAGAGATGGATCTCAAACAAAATTTCTGTAATTCCAACATGGCTTTACTCTTGCCACCTACCTCCTCCCACTTCAAACTCTAGTCATCACACCCAATGTCCCCATCCTACCAGACCCCTAACCCAACAGGCATTGCTAGGGCCTATCTGATATCCTCTGTCCTAAATGCAATATTCTTTTAAGGCCCCTCCCACTGGAACAACTCTCTTTTTGCTTAACTCCCTATATTTTACCATCCAAAACTTTCCTAGACATTTCTGTTTAAGTAATATTTCATGTCTGGTGTTTGGTATAAATATCTGATCTGCCATTTATATTCTGGAAGTAGAATACAAATTACTTTCCATATTAAAAAGCTATTTTTGACTATGGCATTTAAGCCCTCTTTTTTATTAGACTTTTAATATACAATTTAAGATGCTTCCTCCATGATGTTTTTCTGTTCATCATTTTCAATCCAATCACATGATCTCTAAATTTACTTCATCTTCCTAACATAAGCATGCTTCATTCTTTCCCTAAACAAACACCTACTAAGCATCTATTCTCTGGCACTGTTTTAGATCCTGGAGATAAAGTTCTTGCCCTTGGGGAGCTTAGGCAGTTGAGGTGTATGGGTGTGAAGGGAGGGCAGGGAGACACCCAGTAAACAAGTATTTGTTTAGCAGTCAAATGTTAGTAAGTGACCTGGAGAAAATTTAAAAGGATAAAGTGATGCCAAGGGTATGATAATGTCAATTTCAATTGATGGTGTCATGGAAGGCATCATTGATAAGGTAATTTGGGGACAGAAACCTAGAGGGAGAGGACAGGAATCCTGTGATTTCTGGCAGGAGAGGATTCCAGGCAGAAAAACAAGTACAATGGTCTGGAAGCAGGAACATTTCTAGACTAACTGAAGTTCAACAAGAGCAGAGTCAGGGTGAGGGTACGCATTAGAAAGTGTATGTACAGGCTGGGGATGTGGCTCAAGCGGTAGCGCGCCCGCCTGTCATGTGTGCGGCCCAGGTTCGATCCTCAGCACCACATACAAACAAAGATGTTGTGTCCGCCGAAACCTAGAAAATAAATATTAAAAAATTCTCTCTCTTTAAAAAAAAAAAGAAAATGTATGTACAAGAAACTTGTCTTATACCATTGTTAGAGGGTTGATGTATAATGCCACTAAATAGCTTTACTCAACTTTAAAACTCAGAGTTAAAGAATGATCAGGCTTGGAAGATATAATATATCCAAGAATAGCCCTGCTATAATCCATTACTGAAGCACAGGGAAGAACAAAACACCACCCCCCCACCATCATGAAGCAGAAAGTTCCAGAGGTTACAATTACAGGGAAATTACCACAAGTTTTCAAAGGAATGATGTTGCCATGGCGTTGTCTGAAGAATACTATGGTACATAACTCCCAGCATCCTATAGCATCAATGACTCTGTCTCCATTTCCTTCCAAAAATTTTTATCCAACATACTGGAGAAAGTTTCTTAACTTCATAGAGGAAAATAATGTAAAAGATTTCCTTTATTTAAAAAGTTTACTAGAGTGTATCTGTTTCATCAAATGAAGTATATATTTATACTGACTGTTAGTCTTCTTTTTGTTTTTGATACCAGGGATTTAACTCCGGGCGTTTAACCACTGAGCCACATCTCTAGCCCATTTATATTAGAGAAGGGTCTCACTAAGTTGCTTAGGGCCTAGTTTTCAAAGCACAAGTTTTGCATTCAAACTAAAACTGACACTTGGCCTAATCAACACATCAAGAGACACAATACACAACTCTGCTTTTATGATATCCAATGGTTAACCTACAGTAGAACGATAAATTACAAAATTTTAGTAATTGATATAGCAAGAATTTGGGTGAAATTCAGAAGCACATAACTTACCTGAGAAGCATACTTTTCCCTTACTTCATTGTTATTTTCAGTTTCCCCTTTACTTTATGCAGTCGCACATGCATCTTCAAAGGGTCACTTGTTGCTTCTGCAGTTGCAATTCAGTTCTATAAAAGAATAACCATCATCACTTCACAAGAAGAGAAGGCACATTCTAGGAAGCTGAGTTATCTAATCTCATGTCCTAATTCATTTTATAACTATATACAAACAGAAGGTGGGAAGAATTTAAAAAGTTATCAAAATACAAACTAGTAATTTAAAACTATTAAAATTCTAATGGAAATAGAACATATAAATGGAAGTAAGGAAAACAGAACAAAATGATTCATTAAAACCTGTAATTTTTACATTCCCCTCCCCATCAATGAGTTTTTATTCCTCTCTTAGTTAAATTTGAGGTGGCTTGGCAGAAATAATAAAATTAACTGAGAGGTAGCCTTAAACTTCAAGGATGCACACACCCTGAAGGATATACTACTCTCTCATGGTTTTATACTCAAAGCCCTGGGAGTTTCCTAGTATGAGCTACAGAATTGGCTCATACTGTAAGTTCCAGGCTAACTACTCTGTTCTCTACATATTTTGTCTCTGATTCTTATTCCTATGTTTTTCCATTCTGCCCAGTGCCAATGTTGAGCACACAGTAATACATGGTGAATAAATGAAACAATAAATAGATTTTCAACAAACCTCCAGAGAGATGTTTCATGTGATCTTAAAATTACTTGGGAAACACTTGGAAAAAAAAAAAAAAAAAAAAACACTGCTCCTGAGATCTTTTTTCTCCAAAGCATTCCCTTTGGTTAAAACACCCATTAGCAGAAAAACAAGCCCCAGTGTGAGTATATGGGAAGGTGTCAGAACTTCAAACAGACATCTAGAACTTGGTACACTACAAAGGGGGACTATGAGCGTCTGTGAATATAAACAGGTTCACCCTTCAAAAAAGCATCCCCCACCAAAGTAGTTCCCCGTTATCACCAGCATTCTTACATCTTTAACATATACTTATCTTCTACAGTGTGTATCAAGTATTGTACTAACAAGCTTTAACCTCATTAACTAATTTAATCCTTATAATAACCCTAGCAGGTAGATTCTATTATTCTAATCATCCAGATAAGGAAATGAGGTATAGAAAGATTAGTTACATAAACTACCCAAGGAAATGCACTATGTGCTATGCTGCTTTTCATAGGCAGGAGTCCCTCAATAAATATAACTTCATGGTAAGATTAAAGTCTCATTCACCTATTTCACTTTCTTTTACTGCTTTCTTGGCATGTCTAATTAAATAGCTCCATTTCTAGTTAAATTATCTTTTGTTGAAATTTTTCCTAATTAATAATTTATTGAAAAACCTACTTTCTAATTCTCTACAACTTAAAATCTGGCCTTTTCTCACTTAAGAAATTATCCCTCTGAACATTAGAAAAAGGAAATATTTTAAATTTGGTGGAAATCAAAAGCAATAATTATTTAAAGCTAATTATTCATATACACAAAATACTTCAGCTAATTACATTTATTTCAGGTATTTTTCTGTRCTTTCGAGATCCCTTCTAACTTTAACATCTGGAAGCCCTCCTTAAGCAAGGCATTTCTTCTATTCTGTAGTCAATTAGAACTAATGATCACAATGTCAAAAGCTGTGGGTTCAATCCACTACAGCAAAGCACCCCTGTTTTTCTGAGTAGGAAGTTCTACTCAAGTTCAGATCTTTTGCCAGATACAATCTAAGGTTCCAACTTCAAAAGATCAAGAGAGACTAAGTTTTTTTAAAATGTTTTAAGTTTTTATACAACTCTGCTTGATTGATCTGAAAACAGAATTTTGCTTTTCCTGACACCAATTCCACTGACAATAAAAAGCACTTGCAAAAATTTTAGAAAGTGTCATAAAAATTCCTACTACTGCAATATAGAAAACCTCCATAAATGTATGATTACAATTCCATAAATATTTCTAAGATTTTAAAAAAAATTTACTATATACTTTCATAAACCAAAAACTGTTCCATTTCCAAATAATATGGAGATATTTTAAACATGCTTTTCAAATTAAATGGAAACCAATCAATACCCAGTCTAGATTACATTTTAAAATAACCCAGGACCCATTCAAGGTAGAAGTTTTCCAAGATTCAACAAATAAACATGAAAAAGCAAAACTACATTCCTTAATTGTTATTATAGGAGAAACCCATTTGGGATTGTCTGTCTTCAAGATTTCCTGCCCACAGTTGGAAAGAACTTCACAATGCACTAATGCTGCAAAACATATGGATTCCAATAGTCACAAGGTAACTATGACAGCAAAGCCACCCGTCCTTGTGAGATCATAGAAACCATATGATGTAATTTTTTAAACTGAGGTAAAATTCACACAAAATTAACCATTTAAAAATGTACAATTCAGTGGCATTTAGAATATTCACAATGCTGTACAACCATTACCTCTATCTAGTCCCAAAATACTTTCATCAAAAACTCAATACTCATTAAATAGCCACTTCCATTCCCCCTCTTCTAGCCCCCGACACCAATATTATGCTTTATGTGTCTACAGATTTACTTCTTTTGGGAATTTCATATAAATGCAATCATATAATAATTCTTTGTGTTGGCCTTCTTGCACTGGCACAGTGTTTCAAGTTTCATCTATATTGTAGTGTGTGTCCTCACTTCAAACATTTTTAAGGCTGGTAAGTATTCCATAATCGAATATATCACATTTTGTCTATTGAGTCAGCCATTGATGGACACTTGGGTTATTTCCACTTTTTGGCCACTATTAATAGTGCTGCTATGAACATAAGTGAACAAATATTTACTTGAATACTTGTTTTCAATTATTTTGGGTACACATTTAGAAGTGTAATTACTAGAAAATGTGGTAATTTTATATTCAACTTTTTGAGAAAGTACCAAACTGTTTTCAGACCTACAAGCACTAGTGGCTGCACTAGTTTACAGTCCCACTAGCAAAGTTCAAGGATTCTAATTTCTCCACATCCTCACCAATGCTCATAATTTTCTGGTGTTTTGTTTTAAAATTATAGTCATCCTAGAAGGTATCAAGTGGTATCTCATTGTAGTTTTTATTTGCATTTCTTTAATCACTAAAGGTGCAGAGTATTTTTTCATGTATATGTCCTTTGGAGAAATGTCTATTTAAGCCCTTTGTCCATATTTTAATTGGTTTGCTTGTCTTTTTGTTGTTGAGTTGTAAGATTATAGATACTAGGCCCTTTTCAGATATGCAAATGATTTCCCCCTTCTTYTGTAGGTTTTCTTTCAACTTACTGGATGGTATCCTTTGATGCACAATTAAATTTTGAAGTGGCCTAATTTATTTTTTTCTTTCATTGCACATGGGTTGTTTGTTTTCTGTTTGATTTGTGGTACTGAAAATTGAACCCAGGAGCCCTTTATCACTGAGCTACAACCCAGCCTTTCTTTTTTTTAATATTCATTTTGGTTGTAGTTGAATACAATACCTTCATTTTATTTATTTTTATGCAGTGCTGAGGATCGAATCCAGCACCCTGCACATGCCAGGCAAGCATTCTACCACTGAGCCACAACCCCAGCCCATCCCCAGCCTTTTTAATTATTTATTTTTAAAGTTTGTGAAAGGGTCTTTCTAAATTGTCAGGGCTGGCTTGAATTTAAAATCTTCCTGCCTTGGCCTCTGAAATAACTTGAATTACAGGTGAGCACCACCAAGTCTGACCTCATTGCTTGTGCTTTTGATGTCATCACTAAGAATCCATTATCAAATATAAGGTCATGAAGATTTACCCATATATTTTCTTCTAAGAATTTATACTTTTTGGTCTTAAAATTCAATCTTTAATCCATTTTTAATTACCTTTTTTTTTTGAGAGAAAGAATTTTTTAATATTTATTTTTTAGTTCTCGGCGGACACAACATCTTTGTTGGTATGTGGTGCTGAGGATCGAACCCGGGCCGCACGCATGCCAGGCGAGCGCGCTGCCGCTTGAGCCACATCCCCAGCCCCTTTAATTACCTTTAGTATATGGTGTGAAATTGGGGTCCAACTTCATTCTATTGCTTGTAAAAATCCAATTGTCCCAATGCCATTTGTTGAAAAGATTTTTTTTTCAACTATCAAATGGTCTTCATATCCTTCTCAAAAATCAATTGATTGGGCTACAGAAATAGCTCATTTGGAAGAGTGCTTGCCTCTCATGCACAAGCCTTTGGTTCAATCCCCAGCACCACAAAAAAAAAAAAAAAAAAAAAAAAAAAAATCAATTGACCATGACAGGTATGGCAGTGCATGCCTATAATTACAGCAACTCGGGAGGGCTGAAGTAGGAGGATCACAGGTTCAAGGACAGTCTCAGCAACTTAACAAGGCCCTAAGCAACTTAGTAAGACCTGGCCTCAAAATTTAAAAGGGCTGGGAATATAGCTCAGTGGTAAAACACCTCTGCGTTCAACCTCCAGTACCAAAAAAAGAGAGAGAAGTGACCATAGACATATGGACTTACTGCTAGACTCTCAATTTTATTCTACTGATCTTTATGTCTATCCGTATTGATAGCACCACAMTGTTTTTATCATTATAGCTTTGTTGTAAATTTTGAAATTGAGATACCTGAGTCTTTAAACTTCATTTTTTTCCCAAGATTATTTTGACTATTCAGGGTCTGTTACAATCCCATATAAATCTGGGGATCACTTTTTCCATTTCTGCAAAAAATGTCACTGGGATTTTGGTAGAGATTTCATTGCATCTTTAGATTTCTTTGGGTAGTACTGCCATCTTTATAATATTAAGATTTCCAATCCATGATCATGAGATGTCTTTTCATTCAATGATATAATTTTGATGTTATCTTAAAAATATTTGATACAGTAATACACTAACTTCCTTTAGTTGTCTGTATTTCTATGGTAATTTTCAAACAGCTGGATTAACAAATATAAAGTTTACATTTGCAGTGAGAATACAATATTCATATTCTAGAGAATGGGTCCATTATTCAAGGTCTGTTTGCTTCTGTAAATAAGAAATGTTAAAACTCAAGGATTTTCATTTCTCAGAATTTTAATTAATTTTCTTTTTTAATAT